TGATTTTGGCAAAGGACCAATCATGCCCCTCACATCTGCTCTAGCTTGCAATCAAAGTGCAATCACAATTGCGCATCAACCTGGTTTTGCCAACAGGACGAAACATATTTTGCTACGGTACTTCTTCGTCAACGATGAAGTCGAGAAGGGGAGAATGCGATTGGTCTCCTGTTGGACCAATGAAATGGCTGCAGATTTTCTCACCAAGAAGCTGACACGACAGAAGTTTCAATACTGCAACGAGCTCTGCGGAATTATCAAGAAGTGATACTATTGGACTTCCAGAAATGAAGGGGAGTGTTGTGATAAAGTCGTACTTCAGCATTTCTGTAAGTAGTTCCGATAGATATTGTCGAGTTACACGGTAGTTAGCATCCGTAGAATGACGTCAGCAAATAGCGCTCGTTTGGATGGTTACGTCAGCAAGCCGTTTCAGTCGCGCGAATAGTCGCGCTCTTTTCAGTAGCGGGTAGAGCGCATAGCGCATAGCGCAAATAGCTTGAGCAGGTACATTACCGAATAAGTACTTCTAGTATATATAAAAGTAGCTTGTACAACTTCAATTGTTAACTTGTTCTTCAGTAAATTTTGGTCAACACTTTACAAGTTCTAAGACTTCCGCTGTCTTACTAGTCTACCATTCCAGCAAAGATCCTTGGTTAAGTCTTGAAGTATTGCAAGGCTGTAACACTGCTCACTGCCCGCACCGTCCCCTGTGTCTTCCTCGGTTTCCCCCTCGACTCGTCTAATTAGCACTTCTACCACCCGCCGTCTCACCGTTTCTTTCACTCTCGCAACGTCACCTTTGACGAGTCCGTCTCCTTCTACCACCACTTTCCTCACCGTGGTCCCCCGGTTACTCCCCCCCAGTTCCGCATCCCCCCTCTACCGGTCGCCCTTGCTCCTCCCCCTCCCCGCCCTGCCCCGTTTGGTGTGTCTCACGTCACCCCCCTCCCGTTGGCTGTCCATGCCAAGGAGTCTACTGACTCTTGCGGCTCGGCGGAGTCCCTTCCACCGCCTGTCCCTGCCCCGGTCTCTCCTCCCCTGTCGCCGACGTTGCTGTCGCACGCGGAGCCGCCTCCGCAGCTGCCGTAGCCCCCACAGCCGCAACCGTCGTCATCACCGCCGCTGGGGTTTGTGCGTTCTAGGGGTATTGGGGAACGTGCCGGAGCGGGTTCCCGTCTTGGGGGTGCTAGCGTGGAGCTTCTCGGAGAGAGGCGTGGTGCCGCTGGAGGTTCTGGTGTTGGCATCGGGCAGCAGCCGCCGCAGTCGCCGCCGGTGTTCGCTATTCGCCTACTCGGTCTTCCTTCCCCTAACCGCACGCCGGTGCCTCCTCCGTCACCACCGCCTCCTCCTCTGCCAGTCTACGACCCTGTGCTTCCTCCAGCGGACTTTTCTCTGGCTCGTTTCCCTCCTCGTTCTCCTCCTGTGTCCCCTCCCCTCTCTCCTGACCCGACTCCTCCGTCTCACGTCTGGTCTCGTCTTCCGTCTCGTTCTAGTCCCACCTCCCCTGTTCCGCGTTCTCACCCTATGTTGTTTCGCTCCCACATGTCTCGTGCTCCTCCACTCCTCTCGTCCCCTCCTCCGTCGCCGCTCGATGTGGCCCCGCCTCCATTCTCTCGCTTCCTCTGTTCCACGCATCCCCTTGTTCCTCGTGTCCTTGCCTCTCTTGTTACCGACCCCTCCGTTCCTGTCTCAAGTCTGCCAGCTCTTGTTGCTACTGTCACTGACTCCGCCGCTACTCGCCGCCTTGACTACGCCATTGCTCTAGTCTCTGACCCTGCCTGCCCTCCGTCCGTCGAGGGAGTGGCTGCCCTTGGCAGTGACATCCTAGAGGACAGATAGTACAAGCTTGCTTTCCTGTCAGAGGCCGCTCCCCATCTCTGTTCCATGCTGCTAGTTCCTGAGGGTGACCCAGATGCCCTTGACATCCCGACCCCTCGCACCTACGCTGAGGCCACCTCGGGACCCTGGGCCTCTTAGTAGATAGCTGCCATGAAGCAGGAGATGGCATCTTGGAGATCCACCGGTACCTTTGTTGACGCAGCTCCCTCACCTGGGGTGAACGTACTTGATGGCCGATGGCTCTTCAAGGTAAAGCGCCATTTCAAGGCGCGCTACGTTGCTCGTGGCTTCAGTCAGCGTGAGGGGGTGGACTTCTTTCAGACCTTCGCCCCGACCTCGAAGATGACTACTCTTTGGGCACTGCTACACGTAGCAGCATAGCGTGACTACGTGCTCCATTCCCTTGACTTCTCTACAGCTTTCCTCCAGGGCAGTCTACACGAGCAGGCTAACATGCGCCGCTCCCAGGGCTTCTCCGGTACCTTTCCCCCGAGTACCAAGTGGCTCTTCCGACGCCCCGTCTACGGCCTGCGCCAGGCGACCCGTGAGTGGCACGACACGCTGCGTACTACACTTGCTGACCTGCAGTTCTTCCCGTCGTCCGCAGACCCCTCGCTCTTCCTCCGTTCCGGCCAGACTCCGTTCTACATCCTTGTGTACATAGACGATCTGGTCTTTGCTACTGCAGACAGAGATGCGCTGGCCTCCGTGAAGGTCGAGCTGCTGAGGAGACACACCTGCAATCACCTAGGAGAGCTGCGTCGCTACCTTGGCTTGAAGATCTCCAGGGACAGAGCCGCGCACACCATTACTTTCTCACAGTCACACTTGGTGCGCCAGGTCCTTCAGAGGTTCGGCATTCAGTTCTCCTCCGTACAGCCCACCCCTCTGTCAGTAGACCACAGACTCTCTGCTCCAGTCCCGGAGGAGGCTGTAGAGCCTAGTGGTCCTTACGCAGAGCTGGTGGGTTGCCTCATGTACCTGATGACTTGCACTCATCCAGATCTCGCATACACTCTCAGGATCTTGGCCCGCTTTGTGGCCTCCGGCAGACACCGACCACAGCACTAGTCTGCAGCTAAGAGGGTTCTGCGATATCTAGCAAGTACATTGGGCAGGGGACTAGTGCTGGGAGGACGCAGGCCAGTGGCCCTTATCGGGCACACAGACGCTTCTTGGGCAGACGATGCCGAGACTCTCAGGTCCTCCCAGGGCTACTACTTTAGCCTTGGTGCAGATGCTGTCTCGTGGAGGTCCACCCGCTCGTCGTCTATTGCCCAGTCTAGCTGTGAGGCAGAGATCTACGCTGGTGCCATGGCGGCACAGGAGCTCCGCTAGCTTACTTTCTTACTCACAGACTTAGGTGAGCGGCCTAGCTCTGCCCCGGTCTTGTATGCTGACAACAGGGCCATGATCCTCCTATGTCAGGAGCCTAGACACGAGGGCATATCAAAGCACATCCAGCTGCGGTACTTTCTCCTGCGCGAGCTACAGCAGCGTCGCCAGGCCCGCGTAGTACACTTGGCCTCTGGTGCCAACACAGCTGATATCTTTACGAAAACGCTTGCGCCTAAATATCATCAGCGTCACTGCGTACAGCTCGGTCTAATACCTCATTTGCTAGGACCTTCATTGTGTATAACTCTTTATATATTATCTTGACTGGCCTTGTGGCTTTCTCTGATTGGCTAGACTAGTAGTGCTGCTCTGGTTTAGATCTTGCCTTTTTTGTCCTCTTTTGATTTGTCTTTAGACCCTTGCCTCAGAGGTTGGACTAGTAGTGCCACCCTGAGCTGCTTGTCTCTCACCAGGCACTGCCCTTATCTAGTCTAGGGGGTGTGTCAAACATATGTGTGTATGGTTAGTATGGTCAAACATAGGGTAATGCCATAGAGAGTACAACCCATTAACTATATACCCCTGCATGCTCACATTCTAGTCAACCATTCTCACTCTGAGATATACAGCATGTCAGGGCATTTTGTCATGACTTTTGAAGCCCTGACACTAACGATCCAAGCATTTTCCCGTTCTTGTGTGCAAGAGCAGAGGTTGTGGCTCTAAGAAGAGAGATCGGAGAGGTGCGATTGTATGAAACCATTGCCTGATCAACACTTCTTTTGTGTAGTTGTGATTAAGTATGTGAATGCCATTGATATTGTTTCGTCCATGTTATGAATGGGAATGCCGAGTAGCGCGGAGGGCAATGGTGAAACTGTGAACAAGTGAATGACAATAAAATGAAAGAACACACAATATGTAGAAAGCCTAGGGTGATGCTGAACGTAGGATCGGAAGGTTCGGGAAAAGTGTCGAAGGGCCTCGATGTGTCGAAGCGAGGTCCGAAAAGGCCCAGGAGGCTCGAACTGAAAGGTCTGGAACCCTGTCGATGGTTTGGGACTGTTCGAGTCGTACACCCTGTAGCAAGCCTCAGTAAGGAATTACTCATTCCTTACAGTCTAGAGCCTTAGCAACACACTCGGAGGGAAGTTCCACAACAAAAGTAACAACTGAGCAGAGTTGAGTAGGAACACACATTTAGCAGCTGGAATACGCCCTCGTCCTTTCCGGAGAATTTGCACGATTGGCCTCTACAGGGTGTTGGTGAGTTGCCGGCGACATGATTCGTTCGAATATTCGACAGTGGGAAGTTGGTGCGACAATGACAAGCGACCTTTCGTGATTCGTTGATATCAGCCCGTACAGTGCGTCTTGCCTCGTTTCGTTGGGGAAGGGGGAACACTGCCAGGTGGACTATTTTGCTGGGTCTCGGGGATGCTTTGCCGTTCTTGACCGTCGATGTCATCGATTTCGTTCACACTGCCCGCTGCCAGGAAATGCCACGTCAGAGAAAGGGCACTTGCCAGCCATGTTAAATTCGATTCCGCTCGATACAAGAGAGCGGGAACTTACGCTAAGAGCATATCCAGATACCGTTCCCTGATGTTTATTCTTCGTTGTCTTTCTGGAGATTTTTGTCCGACTTCACTCTCAGCCACTCATCAACTGTAATTCGTGATACTATCGGCCGAAGTGCTTCTGCAGGAGTCCGTCAGGCAAACACACCAACCAACCAGCAGGTAGGTTTTTTCTGCCAGCAGAAAGTCAGCGCGGAGTATAAGATGGATGACAATATGTTCCACGGGATTTATTTCCCCAGGGTTTCAGAGACAGCTCTTTTCCCCCCCTGCCTTTCATGCACCCGAGTAGAGCCTGTGTTGTGCAGTTGTTGATGGAGGAACGGTCCGGCTCGCCTGCTAGGTTTCGGATAGGGTATGCTCTGGTGCAGAAGAAAATCAACAGCTTTCTGCAGGAAAAGCTCAAGAGAGAGTCTATCAGGAAAGGGATTGAGCTTGTACAAATAGATCTGTCGAAACCGCTGTCAGAGCAAGGACCGTTTGACGCTATTCTTCACAAGATTCCGTCGCAACAGTGGTATGAGGAGCTGGAGGAATATCAGCTGAGCAGACCAGATGTGCTCGTCATTGACCCCCCGGAAGCCATCTCGCGGTTATACAATCGTATTTCCATGTTACAGGCCGTCGACGACAAGTTACAATACGAGTGTGGATGCATCGTGGGGATCCCTAAGCAAATTGTGGTTCACGAGAAGCAGTCCGTAACCGACAGTTTCGCGACGTCCGGCCTCTCCTTTCCTGTCATCGCGAAACCGCTGCTAGTAGACGGAACGCCGAAGTCGCATCTTATGTGGCTTGTTTACAACGAGGAAGGCTTGAAGAAGCTTCTACCGCCTTTTGTTCTTCAGCAGTTTGTCAACCACGGTGGTGTGATTTTTAAGGTCTATGTCGTGGGGAATCAAGTGAAGTGTCTCCGACGAAAGTCATTGCCTGGTATACCTTGACATGCCACTAAGCTGTTCGCTTTGTTTTTCCCCGTTTATCACTAACCAATCATGTTATTTTCTATCTCGCCATTGCTGGCTTCACATATTCCGGCCTCGTTCTTATTATTAACTTGTTGCGCGTTTTTTTTGCAGATCCTCAACCGCAAGACCTCGCAAACCCTGATGGATTAAGATCGTTCTGTCAGGTGTCTAATCTCCCTGGCTTGGGAAGGAAGGGAGGAGAGGTAGCTGATGCGAGCCTTTCACACGTGGAACTACCGCCAGCCGATTTAATGATTTCGATTTCTTCCAGACTGAGAAAGAACCTGGGTCTGAGGTTGTTCAACTTCGATCTGATTCGAGACAGGAACTGCAGCAGACGATTTTACATTGTGGACATCAACTATTTTCCAGGCTTCGCGAAGATGCCTGGTTACGAGCACGTGATGTCGGATTTTTTTGCGAGCCTGGCCAAGGAGAAGAGAACTCAGAGCATAGAGGAGCCTGCCGCTCAGCTGGTTGAGCGGGCAGTTTGCTGCTAACGCCAAGATAATGCCTGAGAGCCGGCAGCAGTGATTTTTAAATCTGCTGCCACTTTACTTCCAGTAAGTTCCACCCTCAGTTTCTTACCGTAGCATTTTCATTCATGGCACCGCCTTAGTCCTGTACTTATTCGCCCAGTGCTTCCGTGTGCAGGGCCAGCAGTTGGACCATAAAGCTGCGGGTAGAGCACACAAAGGGACTTGTATATTCTGGCAACCGTTACTGACCCAGTCGCTGTAGTTCACTCCATCGATGTACCTTAGGCTTTTAATGCAAATGTTTGTATGGTATGGTACTCTTCTTCAAGCGGTTCGCCTGCCTTGCTGTATCGTGAAACAACATCCCTTGGTGTGCTTACTTGGGGTTTTACTACTAGGTCCATATGGCCATCCTCAGCCCGTCTTTCAATGGCATGGCAGCATTGTCCTGTCCAGGCCCCACGATATCAGGAGAGAAACGCTGATATATTTTTTTTTTTCAGGGTGGTTTACTGTACCGACCCTGAAAAATCAGTGTTCAAATTGGAAAAAACCGGGCCAACCAGCTAGAAAGCTAGTAGAAAAGAAATCCTGTTTTGCAGGGTGTTTTTTGGGGTCAACACTGTGTGGCCTGAAACGAATCAAGGGGCCAGGTCCTGTCCATCCCTTGCGTGCCATGCTCCAATATTATAATTTTTAACACACGTAGTGTTTTTCAAAAATTGTGTATTGTGAAAGTGAAGCTGATTGTACTGAAGCGTTGGGCACTTGAAATGAGAACGATGCCTATTGCAAAGGACAAGAAAGCAAGCTTTCTCAATTGCACCGGCTGAAGCACCCTGGCAGTCATTCAGCATTGGCATCTGATGTGTGAAGTACCCATGCTCATGTCTCCAGGCTCGACTTTTCTTTCTGTTTCTTCACTAGAGTTGACAAACAAAGAATTCACTCACTCATAACCAGCCACACGAAATTACACTCTTAGAATCTGCAATTTAGTTGCATAGGCTATGGCAACCCAATCAGGCTGCACGGATGACCACTGTAGCTGGTTGATCTCTGCACCGGCCGTATACGCCAGAATTGGGTCGAGCCCGCCCTCCACAGGCTGGGCCATGGAGGAAAGGTCCCAGATGAGAGCTTGGGAATCATCACCTGCAGTGCAGATGTGGCACGAGCTGTGCGGTGCCCATGCTATCGCGTTCACACATGCCTGGTGGCGCTGTTGAGGGGGAGAGGGGAGCGGGAGAAAGAGATGGAGTCAGTGATACTAGCGTTTAGAAAAGGTGAGCACGGGGGGGTGTGGGGGGGAGGGGGGGCAGTGATGGAGGAGCTACTGCAGGATTACGGCCTGGTGACAGCAGAGGGGGTGATTGTAGAACGCAAGAGCTAACCAATCAGCAAGGCCGAAAGAACAAGGGGCAGAAGTTAAGCCGAGGGGGAATCTTGCCTGTAGCTCTGCCACTGGGAGTGTGGGGAATCTTATATCGAGGATGACCACTTTGGGCGAGTCCATGAGAATGGTTGCCATGTAGCGGGGATCCTGCTTGTTCCACCCCAGCCGCAGCAGAGGCGTCTCCGGCTGGGGGCTCTCGTAGATGATGGTGCTGTGCTCCTTGTCCCGCAGGTCAAACACCCTCACTGAGCCATCCGCTGTTATGAGAGAGGAAGGAGACAGAGGGGAAGGGACGGAGTAAGCAATAAGGCTGGGGGCTCTCGCAGATGATGGTGCTGTGCTCCGTGTCCCGCAGGTCAAACACCCTCACTGAGCCATCCGCTTGTTGGAATGAAAGAAGAACATGGAGAGGGAAAGAGACAGGGTAAAACTAGCCTTGGGTTTGGGGAAAAAAGTTCAGGATATGCGGAATGTGTCTGTTTCTTTTTGTTTTCTTCTGTTGTTGTTCTTGTTGTAGAAAGGCACCTGATGCTGTACCTGAGACCATCTGCCATTTCACCTGAGACGGAAGCGAAGAGGCCAACTCCCCCCCAGGCGATGTCGTAGACCTCCTTGTCGTGGGCGATCAGCTGCGTGTCAACCACCTCCTTCTCCATGTCCCATATGGTGCACGTCGTGTCAATGCTGGTGGTGGGGACAGGGGGACGGGGGGGGGCAGGGCGAGGGAGAAGCGAACAGGGAAAGAGACAGAATAAATGGCATGCAATACATAGGCCTCCTTGCCGTGGGTGATCAGCTGAGTGTCAACCACTTCCTTCGCTATGTCCCATATCGTGCACGTCGTGTCAATGCTGGTGGGGGAGGGAGGGGGAGGGGGGGGGGGGGGGTGACAGGGTAACCGACCGCCGGTTACTAACCGGCATGCCATGTGGCAGGGCTCCATGCCACCAGCGAACAGCTGAGCGTCCACTGCCTCCGTTCGCCACGTCCCCGATCGTGCACGTCGTGTCGATGCTGGTGGGGGAAGGGGGAGGGAGGAAGGTTGGGAAATGGCAGATTTTTGTCTTGATATTTGTTTCCAGGGCACGTCAAAGCCGTGCGGTGCATGAGACGCCACAAACCGAAATGCACTTGAGGTACCAAGAATGAAAATGCATGCATTCACACACCCGCATTCACGCACCCGCATTCACGCACCCACATTCACGCACCCGCATAGCCAACGTATGAGTCACAGAGGGATAACAGGCGGGCTACAGGCATGATCAGCCAAGAAGCACCAAAGACCTGGGCTATGGCAGCGCATGCTCCAGACCTTTATCATCCGTACGTGGACATTCCAAGCCTCCTTGGTTCGTTTTGTTGTACTAACCTACAGACTTGATGGAAATAAGGCCTCCGCAGCCCACCTGTAATCCATCTACGACTCCAGACCTCTATCATCCGTACCTGGACGTTCCAAGCCTCCTTGGTTCGGACTCGTTCCAATCGAATGAGGTGAGCGGCGCACAGAACTCGCTGTTCTTGTTGTTGTTGAGCACGCTGCGCATGCGCACACCGTCGTCCGTGATCTGCGGTGAGGAAAAGGGGGTGTGCTAGCATAAGCATGGGAGCATTAGCATGCACGTAGCATGCAAGAGCGGCGCACAGAACCCGCTGTTCTTGTTGTTGTTCAGCACCGAGCGCATGCGGACGCCGTCGTCTGTTACCTGCTCGCAGGGGGGGAGAGAAATGAGCAAAAGAGAACAAGCTCAGGCTTGTTCTTGTTGAGCACCGAGCGCATGCGCAGACCGTCGTCCGTTATCTGCAGTGGGCGAGGGAACGAGCGGGTGGGGAAGGGAATGACCGGAAATGGTCAAGTAGGTTTTTGAGGCGCCTCAAAGAAAGGGTGGGTGGGAAGGGATCAAGTAGGGGGCCCAGACTTGTTGTTGAGCACAGGGCACGCATGCGCACGCCGTCGTCTGTTATCTGCTCGCAGGGGGGAGAGGGAGTGCGATGAACATTAGCATTAAAGTGGCAAACTGCAACACACATGCACACTTCGCATCTGTTTATCTGCTGTGTTTTGAGTCGACTCAAAATAAACTTCGCATCTGTTTATCTGCTGTGTTCTGAGTCGACTCAAAATACACTTCGCATCTGTTTATCTGCTGTGTTCTGAGTCGACTCAAAATACACTTCGCATCTGTTTATCTGCTGTGGGCAAGAGACCAGGTTCCATTGGAGCCAGGTTCTACCTGAGCCAGGTTCTCTTTGAGCCAGGTTCTATCTGAGGCAGGTTCTACCTGAGCCAGGTTCTCTTTGAGCCAGGTTCTATCTGAGGCAGGTTCTATCTGAGCAGCGGTTTTATCTGAGCCAGGTTCTATCTGAGCCAGGTTCTATCTAAGCCAGGTTCTATCTGAACCAGGTTATATCTGAACCAGGCTATATCTGAGCCAGGTTCCACTAAAACCAGCCAGGCCCCCTCAGTCCCCTCCTTTCCCCTTCCCTCACCCCCCCCCGCAGTAGCAACGTTACTATTGCCTCTCCCCCACCCCTCTCACCTCCCTTACCCTCCCCCCCGCCCTTTGCACCTCCCTTACCCCCCCCCCCCTTTGCACCTCCCTTACCCTCCCCCCCGCCCTTTGCACCTCCCTTACCCTCCCCCCCGCCCTTTGCACCTCCCTTACCCCCCCCCCCTTTGCACCTCCCTTACCCTCCCCCCCGCCCTTTGCACCTCCCTTACCCTCCCCCCCGCCCTTTGCACCTCCCTTACCCCCCCCCCTTTGCACCTCCCTTACCCTCCCCCCCGCCCTTTGCACCTCCCTTACCCCCCCCCCCTTTGCACCTCCCTTACCCTCCCCCCCGCCCTTTGCACCTCCCTTACCCTCCCCCCCGCCCTTTGCACCTCCCTTACCCCCCCCCCTTTGCACCTCCCTTACCCTCCCCCCCGCCCTTTGCACCTCCCTTACCCCCCCCCCTTTGCACCTCCCTTACCCTCCCCCCGCCCTTTGCACCTCCCTTACCCTCCCCCCCGCCCTTTGCACCTCCCTTACCCCCCCCCCCCTTTGCACCTCCCTTACCCTCCCCCCCGCCCTTTGCACCTCCCTTACCCTCCCCCCCGCCCTTTGCACCTCCCTTACCCTCCCCCCCCTTTGCACCTCCCTTACCCTCCCCCCTCCCCTTTGCACCTCCCTTACCCTCCCCCCCCCCTTTGCACCTCCCTTACCCCCCCCCCCCGCCCTCACCTGCCAGATCCTCAGCAAGTCCCCTGACGTGGCCAGCAGGTCCGGGCGGGCGCCGTCGCGGTCCGGCACGAGCATGAGCGTGGTGGGCGGTACGGGTGGTCGAGCCGCATGCCAGACTGCTGCCATTGACTCAATTCAAACAGCGTGGTGGGCGGGTACGGGTGGTCAAACAACCCCCCCCCCCCCCCCCCGCCCCTTCTCTTCTTCCCAACCCCACCCTCCGTTACCCTCCTCCCCAAACCCTCTCACCTGCCATATCCTCAGGTAACCTGGCAGTTACCCCCCCCCCTCTCACCTGCCATATTCTCAGGAAATCGCCCGAAGTAGCTAACAAATCAGGGCGGACGCCGTCGCGGTCCGGCACGAACATGAGCTTGGTGGGCGGGTACGGGTGGTCGAACGCCAGCCTGGCGTCGCTCCTCAGCTCGCCTGTGTTGTCGTCTAGCTGCACAATCTCAACCTACAGGGGGAAAGGGGGCGGGAGGGAGGAGGGGGGGGGGGGGAGAGAGAGAGAGGGGTTGGAGAGAATAACAAGGGGCCAGGTTGCCACAGGGGTGATACGACCTGGTGGATAAGGTAGAGCCAGGTGGATAGATCGAGCCAGGTGACGATTTTTTAGGCGCCTCAAAAATCACGAGTGGTAGTCAGAAGGATACAGACTGGTGACCTGAAAATGGTTGAAATTCAGTTCTGCAAAATGCTCCGCCTTACCTTATTGCGGCAATATACGATGATGCTCCCTGCGGCATCATCGGTAGTCGTCTTCACCCCCCTAGTACCTTATTCCGGTTTTTTTTTTTTGAGTCGACACAAAAATCGACTCATTACACACGGAGTACCTTATTCCGGTAGTCTTCGATGAAGCTGCCCACGGCGAGGCGGAACTTGTGGTCGCGGCGCACGCTCCAGTTCATGCTGTAGACGGGCCACGGCGCCTCGTAAGTGTAGATCTCCGCGCGCTTCGCGGGGCCGCTGTCCGCGCACGCGTCCATCGCGCGGCGAGCGGGAGGAGGAGGAGGAACGCGGGAGCGACGCGGACGCGGGGACGGAAACTAGCAGCAGAGACTTTGGAGTTTCGTTGCTAGAGCGTCGCCGTCGACTAGAACTCAGAAGTCAGCTCGGATGTGGCGGCGAGGACGGGGAGTGTAAGACTGCCGGACTGTAAGACGGCAGGAGAGTAGGACTGTGAGACTGTTAGACTGTGTAAGCGAGAAGCGCGTTTCGAGCGGCCTCAAGAGTACCGGCGAGCGAGGACGGAATGTAGCAGGCGATTCGAGAGCAGGTTAAGTACCTCCGTCGCAGCAGCCAAGGACGCCGGATAGGGCCTGGTAAGCTTTGAGACGTCTCTAAACTTAACTACTTACACCTGGTAGGACACGGAGAGATCTTTCCCAAGCAAGAAGCGTCTGGATTCGAAGGCAGTCGATTCGGACTCAGGGATATTAACAGCGGTTGAAAGACCGTACGGAGCAAAATAAAATACAGAGCGAGAGGAGGCTAGGTCGGATGGTATCTCGGTCGGACCTTCGGACCGTGAGGAATCAGGTGTAATGTACAGACCTAATCGAGCAATACAGGGAACAGTGGGAAGTAACCCCACTGAAAACGCTCAATGCTCGGCTGACAGGATTCAAATGCTCAGGACTAATCTACTAAATCCTATTTTACAAATGACGCAGAATAGTCGTCGGTCAGGGAGTCGCTCCCGGCACTCTCTAGAGTCTTCAGCCAGTGGCGTCCGACATAATCCTTCTACTATCTCCAGCGGACCACCAGCGGCCAACCACTTGGTGCAAGAGCGCAAGAGAAACTAACTACGTACCAGCCTAAGGAACGGGGCCGCAAAACGCGGAGAGCGGTGGGTAGGAGGACGAGTGACCAAATAGGAGGAGCAGGAGTTACATGTACAGTACATGCAATCGTATTTGGTTCATTTCGTACACAGGTTTAAATAGATATACATAAGGTACATATACTCAATAAATTCGTGCAAGAGCTCAGCTAACAAAATCCCGTTCTTTCACGATTTTCTAGAGCTCGTTCCTTCATGAAACGTTCATGGTCACACAATCTATGTGCAGCCTCTGATTGGAATTTACCGTAATCGTCCATACTGCCGAATGTTTGACATGAATTGTAAGGAATGCGTAATTCCTTACTGATGCTTGCTACAAGGCGTACGACTCGAATAGTCCCGAACCAGCGCCAGGGTTCCAGACCTTTCAGTTCGAGCCTCCTGGGCCTTTCCGGACCTCGATTCGACACATCGAGGCCCTTCGAAACTTTTCCCGAACCTTCCGATCCTACGTCCAGGATCACCCTAGGCTTTCTATATATTGTGTGTTCTTTCATTTGATTGATTCACTCGTTCACAGTTTCGCCATTGCCCTCCGCGCTACTCGGCAGTCCCATTCATAACATGAATGGCTGGGCGTTACATCCCGAAATCTGGTAACTGAAGCTGAAGCCGTCGTGAGCCCGAACCACCAAACCGCTTCCCCCCTAACCCACAGCTGACTGGGTTTGTGCCTCGTCCTGACGGCGCCTCCACCCACATGGCACAAACTGACGGCCAGAGGGAGCTGAAAAAACAGCAGATTTCTGCTGGGTTGTTGCGTTGCCGTTCGGTTGGATATCATTTGTTGCGGTACAAAAGGTTGGAGAGCGGTAATCTCCACCATCCACAAACCCTTGTTGATGGACGAGCAGAGAACCCTTCTTTGACGGACAGGAACCTTAATGGGGGAGAAACCCAGAGCCTGTCGTTGACAGACAATATCCATGCTAGTGAGGTTCCCAGCTAGAGAGTCCCCCAGAAAAGGGAGAGAGAAACCCTAGATTCCATTTCCGTGTGATCTATTCCGTTTCCCTCCATTAGTTCACGTCGTCTCCTCCTTCACCTAGCTCGGCTAGGCTGTACAGTCACTACCGCTCTAAAACGCATTCAACCCCGTTCTTTGAACCCATCACGCTCTTCAGCTCGCTCGGAACCAGCATTTTTTCGCTGTGGAGGTCGCAACGCAAACCGACACCATTTTTCTCTCTCCCTCTCACCTTCCCGTGATCGCAAGGCGGCAGCATGACGGGAAAGGCGAAGCCTAAAAAGCACACGGCGAAGGAGCTCGCGGCAAAGGCCGACGCAGCCACCACGAACCGCGGAGGTGGGAAAGCCGGGCTGGCGGACCGGCTGGGGCTCGACAAAGGTGGGCACGCGAAGCTGGCGTGTCCGATCTGCAAGGCGACGGCACCGGACATGAAGAGCATGCAGATCCACCACGAGGCTCGGCACCCGAAGCTGCCGTTCGACGACGGCAAGCTGATTCGTCAGCACGAGGGGGTCGACCTGGAGAACAAGGAGCGTCCTGGCGTTCGCGGGAGTATCAAGAAGAAATAAAGAGCGGCCGGTCGCCGATTCCTCTCGAGATCGCCGCGTCTGTCTGTAACGGGGTTAGGTCGCTGGTCGTTGGTCAAGGATGTGTTAACCGGCAATATTGTTTGTATCCAGAACGAGTTTGGGACGGCTGATGTAGCAGCAGCGCAAGAAACGGCTTCAGGCGGGCTCCCGTTTCCTCCTGGGGCTCATCGGGATCGTCGTACTTTCAGCAGCAATATTGGCGGCAGTCTCAGGAGTCTCAGCAGCGTCAGCAGCGTCAGCAGCGTCAGCAGCGTCAGCAGCGTTGTTAAGGAGTAGCTAGCAAGGTCGTCCCAGCAGGTCGTCGTTTTAGAGAACTCCACTGTAGCAGGGACTGGCTGGCTGGTCTTTGGTGAGCTGGAGTAGTGCTGGGCGACGGCGCGACGGTGGGAAGGAAGGGAATCAGTCTGCCGCGTGTGTGCTCTTTCGTTTCTCGCGACGACCGTTCTGCTCTGCTTGCGGATGCTGCAGCTTGCTCTTAGTGACTGCTTGCGGTGACGTGGCGTTTCAACGTGTGCGAGCCTCTTGGTTGGTCTCCTAGCACTGATACGGTACTTGTGGATTATTAGTGGGTGATACTTTTCTAGGAATGTACGTCTGAATGAGGGTTTGGGTTGGGTTGGGTTGGGTTGGGTGGGTTAGCTGGGATGGATTGCCCTGGGATGGGACAACCCTGGATCTAAGCATACTGAACTGGGCATTCTGAACTAAGCCAATTAGAAGGAAAGAATGTTCACTTGCACTCATGGTTTAAGTGAACAGTTTATTCAGTTACAATGTTTATTGTGGCCTGCTGTAGCTGCCTCATGATTCTTATCAACAGGAGTGTTCGACATGTTCATGCATGTACCTCTTTCACGTCACGTTCCAATTTGATTATTATAAAGAACCACCTTTTAACACCCTGTTGATTATGTAGCATCAACCCTTTCACACCCAGTTGATTATAGAGCATCACTCACTGTGTATTTCGTGAAGTGTCATGCAGCAGCGAGCAAACTGCACTTGCCGCAGCTCCGAGCACAGCTCTGGTGCATGTACCCGGGGTTCTTATCGCACTCCCCTTGCTTCGCCCACAGCGCACAATGCTCAATCTCATCTGCACACACACCGGGAGGGTGTGACGGCACCGACGCACTGCCATCCTCGTCCCCATCCTCGCCTTCGAAGGAGCGCACATGGATCCACTTGGTGGCGGACCACTTCTCCCCAGAGATCACGGGGCAGCCGGCGTGAAGGGATGCAAGGTCGGGCTCGGCTGAAGGCTTGAGGGAGAAGAAGAGGAGCGCGTCGCCCTTGACGGGCTTGGCTGGAGGGAAGAGGGGAAGGAAGGAGGAAGGACAGAGAGGCGGGGGATTGGGAGGGAGGTCACTGGAAAGAACCCTTACCCTTCTCCTCACCTCACTCCCATCCGTCTCATCTGCTCACCCACCCGTTTGACCCTTCCCGTCCCCTCACTTGCAACGCTCTGCTTGCCGCAATCCGACCATGTGTCGTCCTTCTCCTATAGGCTCGTACGACACCCACCCCTCACCTGTTCACCCACCCATTCAACCCTTCCCCTCCTCACCTGCCATCCCCTCGCCTGCCATCCCCTCACCTGCCATCCCCTCACCTGCCACGCCCTGCTTGCCGCAGTCAGACCAGGTGTCGTCCTTCTCCTGCTTGTCCTTCTGCAGCGTGGGGCATGGGGGGCATGATGTGGCATGATGTGGCATGATGTGGCATGACAGGCATGACATAACTTTTTGCAGTGAATCACCATGCCTGCCCTGCTGCCTCCTCTCCTCCTCCCCCCACACCCCCCTCCAGACACACATGCCCACACACACTCTCCTACCCAGAGTCTGGGAAAACAGTCTCCCCCCCACTGAACCCGTCTGTCAGGTACAAGGGCACTGTGGCGTAGCGGTGTCCGTCCTGCTGCCCTCATCCTCCTCTCCTCACACATGCACTCACACACCCCATACACGTGCACACACACACACACATAAACACACACACACACACACACACACACACACAAGCACAAACACACTTACCTCTGAGTCTGGGAACACGGTCTCTCCCCCTCTGAACCCATCTGTGAGGCACATGAGCACCGTGGCGTAGCCGTGCCCGCCCTGTTGCTTGCCATCATCCTCCTCTCCTCACTCAAACACCCCATACACACACACACACACACACACACACATACACACACACACACACACACACACACACACACACACACACACACACACACGTACCTCTGAGTCTGGGAACACGGTCTCCCCCCCGCTGAACCCGTCAGTCAGGTACATGAGCACTGTAGCATATCTGTGCCCGCCCTGCTGCTTGCTCTCCTCCTCGTCGAAGAAGTCGTGGTGCGCGTCGTACTTCTGCCCCACTGCGTACCGCAGAACCTGCATGGACTCCTGGTTCTCTGTGGATAACAGGGGATGGATGGAGGGGAGGGGAGATGGAGGGGTGTGTAATGCGTCTCATCTCGTACTTCTGCTCCACTGCGTACTGCAGCACGTGCATCGACTCCTGCAGTACTGTGTGTAATGAGGTAGAGGCCTACCAGGGGGGAGGAAGGTCCAGGCAGCAAAGCAGTCTTCTTATGAAAAAAAACAGATTCAATGCACACCGGTTTTTTGCAACTATTGGATAGTGGCCTACCAGGGGGGAGGAAGGTCCAGGCAGCAATGCGGTCTTCAATGCGCCTGATGACGTCATCCTGGGAAGGGGAGCGCAGGGGAGCGTAGAATGGGCTCAGAGAGCAAAAACACTCACTAGCAAAAGATTATATTATAACACTCACTAGCAAAACACAGAGATTATATTTTCCAACAATGTGAATTAAAGAAACGTTTGTCAACATCTACTCAGTCAGCTATGTAGATTAGACATACCCCAGCCGTCCCTTTCCCTGGCTGCAAGTTACAGGTGATACCACACGCACATAACATAACTAACCTGGGCAACGTCCAGGAAAGTTCCGGAGCTGGACCTATAGTCGTCTACGACGCTGGAGCCTTTGTCGGCCAGCACTGTGGGCCGCTCCATCCTGGGCCAAACGAACTTGCATGGGACCATGCACATGCTACCACCCCATGTGTTACCATGCCATGTTACCTTGCCATATTACCATGCCATGGGCAACCACAACAAACCTGCGCAACGTCCAGGAAGGTGCCAGAGCTGGACCTATAGTCGTCTACGACGCTGGAGCCATTGTCGGCCAGCACTGTGGACCGCTCCATCTTGGGCCGCGCCTAGCAGGAGAGAGAGGGGAGAGCGAGCGAGAGGAGGAAAGGAGAGACACGAAAGAAGGAAGGGAAAGGGGGAAAGAGATGGTTAAGGGGGGCACTGACCTGAGCGATTTCTAGGAAAGTTCCGTAGCTGGTGCGGATGGTGTCTATCTCAACGGTGCCATTGTCTGCCACCACCTCCGAGCGCGTCATGTTGGGGCGCGCCTGGGGGGGTGAAGGGGAAAGGGGGGGGCGGGGAACATAGGGGAGCACAGGAGTAGGGCGATGTGGATACTGGTCAACGTGGGACGTCTATCTCAGCGGTGCCATTGTCTGCCACCACCTCCGGGCGCATTCTGTTGGGGCGCGCCTGGGGGAACGGGGGGATGGGGGGATTGCGGGGGGGAAGAGAGATGGGCAAGGGTGATGGGGAGGTGTGTGCGAGGGCAATAAGAGAAAGACGCATCTCAGTGGTGCCATCGTCTGCCACCACTTCAGAGCAAGTCGGGTTGGGACAAGCCTGGGCCCTGGGGGAATGGGCAATGGGGGCATGGGGCATGGGGCATGGGGCATGGGGCATGGGGCATGGGGCATGGGGGAGTAGGGCGATACGGGTATGGGGCAAGGGAGGGCGGCCATCTCAGCTTGGGACGCGCCTGGTGGAATGGAAGTAGAAGGGGGGGGGGGGGGGGACGGGGGGAGTTTGGGAAATGGAATGCCTGAAGCGGCAATTCCAGGGATCTGTGCTGCGCTGTGCTGCGCTGTGCTGTGATGTGATGTGCTGTGCTGTGCTGTGCGGTGCTGTGCTGTGCTGTGCTGTGCTGTGCGGTGCTGTGCTGTGCTGTGCTGTGCTGTGCTGTGCTGTGCTGTGCTGTGCGGTGCTGTGCGGTGCGGTGCTGTGCTGTGCGGTGCTGTGCTGTGCTGTGCTGTGCTGTGCTGTGCTGTGCTGTGCTGTGCGTGTGTGCGTACTGTTTCCACAACGTGGGGTAGGTGACAAGTTGTGGTTCCAGTAACAGGTGATTCCAGCAGCACATGCTTCTGAGACGCCTCAAAAACTGAGACTGCTTTGCTTTTGAGGAGCCTCAAAAACAAGATGTGGAATTCTAGCAGCACACGTGTGCGCACATACCAGCTGTATAATGTGGTCGCACTCCTCATGTGACAGGAATCGCTTGTACACCCAGGCTCTGGAGGAAGGAGACGGTGGGTTTGAAGATGGACGGAGAGGGAGGAGGAGTGGGTGAGAGAGATGGGTCCGGAGGAGGGACGTGTGTTGGAGGAGGGCGAGAGATGATGGGGGGTAAGGAAGATATGATGGCGGTGTATTGAAACAATGTTTTACTAAGTAGGGGCGGCGGCGAGAGACAGTGACTTACGAGCAAATGAAGAAGGACGATGTCCACGTCATCGTCGTGATGATACTGGCCACGTCAGCGTAGGTTCCACCTCACCTTGGTTTCCAGGACATCCGGACGACGCGGGGCTCACTGAGGCCAGCTTCAGACGCTGGTGGCTTGGGACCAGCAGTGGAGCGATACGTGTCTCCCAGCCAGCCGGGAAGAGCGTCAGGCTCGAAGCAGGAGGCCGGATTCCCGAGCAGCAGCAGCATCGCCAGCACGAGGAGGCCGCCGACGCGGAGTTTAGGCGAGCGTTGCTGCGACGAATCCATGCGATGCTTTTCTCTAGTCGTGCGACGAACTGGTGATTCCGGTGGTAATCGGCGACGACGGACACGCGACGGCGTGAAAAGCCTATGTGTCACTAAGCGAAACGATCGCAAGGGGGATTCGGGCTAAGAGACACGACCTACAGTGCTTAGAATTTCTCGGATGGATGCTCGAGCAGCAAGGGAATCCGCTGCTCTACTAATGAAACAGGCTCTGCTTTAGCGGATGCAGGATGGGATGGACAGGATTCGGCAATCCCGAGGCCCCTGGGAATTACAGTAACACCGCCGCCTTGCGACCAGCAGAATTTGGCATTCCCTAGGCCCCACGTTTCAGTGCTGCTGATGCCAGGAGAACCAGGATGGTTACCAGGGCGAAATATGACAGGCTCGCGAAACCTGGAAAGTCTGACCTGCATTGTCTGCGAATCCCATCGCGAGTGTTGGGGCCAAAGATAGCTTTGCGAAGAAGTGCAATTCGCGAACGCATGTTCGCTGCCTCCCTCCCTCCCTGCCTCCCTCCCTCCCTCCCTTGGACCTCACTTCAATTTCACATTTGCTCAGCTTGGCCATGGCTCTTCCCTGGCTAGAACCATACCATTCCCCAGCTTATCTCATCCAAACTTGATTCTGTATTCCGCCCCGGCGGCCGAACTTGGCCCATATTCCCCAGTTTCGGTGACTGGTGTCAGCATAACCCCATGACTCACGGTCAGAATTTCTAGCCGAATCAGGAGTGGCGATAGCACAGCGAGGCAGTTATCTCGTTGTCGCTTTTCCTGAATTCTCTCCCTGAACCGAGAGGTCCACACATTGGCAAGGCTACTACAGACCAAGTTGTTCCAGTGGCTCTTTGTGTCGTGCAACCGCCATGGCATCCCTTAGTCCACGTCAGGGGCTAGTGCTGATAATGAGCTTCCTTTTAGCGAATGCCGTTTTCGGACACTCCATTGAAGCTGCTGGGGATGATTCCGGCGTCACGTACGTGCCAGTCGACCTAGTTTTGAGTCGACTCAAAAGCAGTCGACCTAGTAGTCTATCGCAACTGATCGAATCTGATGTCGTTGTACGCGCCATAACGCATCCAATTCCTCCTCTTGGCGTACTCGCGTGGTCTATTCACATGAATCTCCTCGTTATTGCATGCTTCGCAGAAACGTAGATGTTGACATTCCCCCGTTGGAAGAACCCCCAATTCACATTGCTGACGTCAGCAAGGTCCAGCGGCTTTCCTGGAAACCGCGGTACGTGCTGCCTCGCGAAATTCTCAACCCAAAATTCGCTCGACGTCCTTTCGCAAGAGCAAAGTATCCAGCTGACCGTACTCACCTGTGCTAGACGGTTTTTACCCGGCGTTCACAATGTAATGCTGCTGACATGTGTCACACGCTGCCTTGTCATCTTGCCATCCAGGGCGTTCCTCTTCCCCAGCTTCCTATCCGATGCGGAATGTGACTACATTGTCAACTATGTGAGTACTGGTTGATGCTTTTCACGAACAACTAAACTGTAACGACCACCGTTTCTCGTATCAGGCAGCGTCATCATTCATACACATCAGACGCTTTAGGTACCTCTAGTAGTATGCATGCACCAGTCACCCTTCCGGCCGAATCCCTTCATTTCCTCTCAACATCAGCTTACCATAGCCAATTCTATATCTGCATTTCTCGCATTCCTTCCACTTCGTTACAGTCACGTCCCCGTATGGAGCGGTCCACAGTGCTAAGCGACAGCGGCAAGAGCGTGCTGGATAACATCCGCACCAGCGACGGTTCCTTTATTGTTAAGTACGAGGTGAGCGATTGGCGGCGCTTCCCCTTTGTTAGTTTACAAAGGCTGTTCAGTGCTGCTGGTAGTGTGGTCTGCTGTTTCTTTTCCACAAGGCAGAATGCACCTCATGGTCTTCCCAAGTATCTTGTCCTCTTTCATGCCTAAGCACTTTCACATTCTTTAGCGTCATGTTCTAAGCCCCACACTCCCCATCCTCCCATTCTCCCTCTTATCTTCTTCACGCTCCTCTCCAACCTTCATCCCTTTCTTACATGCCGTCACTTCCCCTAAAAAAAAAGCATCCCGTCCTCCTCCCTTTCTCCCTTCCTCTTCCCCCCCCCCCCCCCGGCCAAACCCCCACCACCCACCCCACTCCCCTTCCCCTTCCCTGCCAGAATCCGGTCGTTCGACGCATTGAGGAGCGAGTGGCTGCATGGACCTTCCTCCCAATCGGTGAGAACCCTCCCCCCAATCATTGGAATCTTGCTCCCCATTGGTATGACACTTCCTCCTCATCGATGAACAACTCTATGTCTAGGGCTTAGGGTTTGAATCTTTCTCCCCAATAACATGCTTCTAGGTGTGACTTTTGAGTCGACTTAAAAGTCGCCTCGTTACAACTCTATGTCTACGGGTCAGGGTTTGAATATTTCTCCCCATTAACATGCTTCTGCCACCCCGTTGATGGCTTATTAACGTTGATCCATTCATTGCAGAAAGCCAGGATTGAATGCGCCTCAGTTGTTTCAGACGGCCCTTTCTGTTGAGTCGACTCAAAATGTTTCAGAGCACGGCCCTTTCTTTTGAGTCGACTCAAAATGTTTCAGAGCACGGCCCTTGCTCCCTTTTGCGCGATCCCTTGCAGAGAACCAGGAGGCAATGCAGGTGCTGCCGTACAGGGACGGCCAGGAGTACGGGGCGCGCTGAAATCTGAGCACCATCCTCCTCTGTCCCACTCTTTTTACATGCTTTCCTTTGCCAGAGAACCAGGAGGCAATGCCGGTCCTGCCGTACAGGGACGGCCCGGAGTACGGGGCGCGCTGAAATCGGAGCACCACCCTCCTCTGTCCCACTCCCTTTACATGCTTTCCTTTGCCAGAGAACCAGGAGGCAATGCAGGTGCTGCCGTACAGGGACGGCCAGGAGTACGGGGCGCGCTGAAATCGGAGCACCACCCTCCTCTGTCCCACTCTTTTTACATGCTTTCCTTTGCCAGAGAACCAGGAGGCAATGCAGGTGCTGCGGTACAGAGACGGGCAGGAGTACGGGGCGCACTGGGACTACATTGATGAGAAAAAGGCACCTACCCCGGGTGGGCCTCGATACGCTACAGTGCTCATGTACCTCTCGCATGTGGACAAAGGAGGCGAGACTGCCTTCCCTGAGTCCGAGGTATGTGCAACGCACAGAGCAGCAGTAGGTAGCTAGATATGCATGGGATGGGCCTCATTGCACTGCAGTGCTCTCTCGTGTCCTCCCCCCCATGTGCCCTCACTCGTGTGCTCTGATGGTGGGATGGGGCTGTGTGTGGCGCAGTGAGGGAAGGTTTGGTTTTGGCAGGGCGGTAAAGTGTGGAGAAGATGGGGTCTGATGGGGTGTGTGTGGCTGGCGAAAGAGCGGAGGTGTTTGGGTTTGGACGAGTTATCAACTGTGTGCACATTTGCTCTGCTGTGTGCATTTCTGCTGCTTGCTTGTACAGGAGGACCCTGTATTGAAGGATGACTCGTGGAGTGACTGTGGGAAGAAGGGCATTGCAAGTGAGTGCACGTCTTCAGGGGCCCGCTTTTCTATTTTTATGTATATTTCTCCTTTTTGGGCCGTTTATTGATCCCAGGAAACCCAGAAGGAAACGGTGCCCCCTTTCCCACGCCGATGCTCCTACAGACCTTTGGTGCCTCAGGGTGTAGGCTTTAAGGGTCATTGTTGATGGTATACTGCAGCATGTTTCCACCTCCCCTCCACCTCCTTTCACCGCTCCTCTCTCTGCCTTCATGCCAATACCTTCCCCTCCGCCCTCCCCCTACCTTCCCAGCCAAACCCCGCAAGGGCGACGCTCTGCTCTTCTTCTCCCTCCATCCCGATGCCTCCTTCGACCGCTCCTCCCTCCATGCCGGCTGCCCCGTGCTCGCGGGGGAGAAGTGGTCCGCCACCAAGTGGATCCACGTGGGCTCGTTCGACCTGCCCCCGAGAGACGCCTCTGTGTGTGCAGACGAGAATGACAACTGCGAGTACTGGACCAGTACGGGCGAGTGCGAGAAGAACAAGGAATACATGGTGGGGACAGGGTCGGGGCCAGAGAGGTTGGGATTCTGCAGGAAGAGCTGCAAGGTGTGCGCATGAGGGCTCTGTTGACTGTAGCGGCAGGGGCAGCAGCAGCAGCAGCACCAGCAGCAGTGGTAGCAGCAGCAGTCACAATGGTAGCGGCAGCAGTCGCAGTAGCAGCAGCAGCAGCAGCAGGGGTCAGTAGCTCTGGAGCAGGACTGTGTGATTCGACTCTAGGACTAGACAGTCACAACGCCAACTCGAAGGCCGCGTCTGATCGGCTTTATATTTCTCCACTGCACAATATACATGGAAGTTGCATGCTATCACATCCACTACTATCACAATAACATCCATTTGAATCACATCCATTATGATCACAACAACATCCATCTATAATCACGATGACATGTGGCGGAGCACCCAGTCTGGCCACTGGTTCCTGCCCCCTTCCCTCTCGCCCTCACCCCCCTCCCCAGGCTCCCCTGCTTGCTGCTGTAGCAGCATTCCATATCCAACCCCATCCCGATAACCCTCATCCACAAGCTGAGCTGGCATCATGTCAGTAAGCTGAGCTGGCATCGTGACAGCAGGCTGAGCTGGCATCCCCCATAATAGCGTTCCCTCTATTGTGTTAGTCATTGGCTCGCCTACCTCCCCAATGGCCCCTGTTACTCCTGCACCCCCAGAGTTACCAGTAACCCTGCCATGCTGTGACGTGGCATGTCGGTGGTAGTACCCTGTCACCATGCCATGGTGTGATGTGGCAGCATCATGATCTGAGGTGGCAGGATCAGGTCCAGTGAGATGTCCACGTGGCAGCAGCACATGGTCTGTCGAAGATGGAGCAGGACGCATGTATGAGGACCCTTGAAATGGAGAATTCTGAGCGGTGAAGTGCGGTGCTGATGAGTTCCGCCCCCCTGTAAAAGCGGCGAGGGGAGTGGTGGTGGGTATGGTGACAGGAGGAGGGGATGGGGAGGCAGTACCAGGGGCAGGGCTCAGATGATCAAAGGTTCCCCGCTCATGGGACAACAAACCCCTCGCTTCACCGTGACTGGGTTGCGCCATGTCAGCTGCTGCCACCTCAGCACGCATGGCCAGGTCAGCATCTTCTGCCGCCCAGTCAGCAACCAGCAGGCGGATGACGTCATCCTCGGACACACCCAGCAAGCCACAGGGAGCCATGAGGGGCTCCTCCTCAGTCCCCCCTGCTCGCACCTCCCCCATCCCCCCTGCTCGCTCGCTCAACCCCGCTCCTTGTCCCCCCTGCTCAACCCCCTGCCATCGACCATGCACACCCCCATCCCTCTCCTCCCCCTCCTCTGCGTTCCTCTCTCTGCTCTCCTCCCCGGGTTGGCCCTTAAATGCACACCACTCAACCACGCCCCTGCCACCAGCACCCCTCTCAACCGCACCCCTCTCACTGCCCTCCTCCGCAACCCATTGCTCATCAGCGTCTCGCTTATCCTTTGCAGCAGCAGCTGTGGACACTGGTGCTGATGTGGCAGCACCAGATGGGGCTGCTGACGTGGCAGCAGCGGATTGCGACGCTGACATGGCAGCAGCAGCGGAGGAGGGGGAGGAGATGGGAGGGGGTCCGCAGGAGCCGACAGCTGGCGAGCCGATTGGGGGCAAGCTGGGCTCAAGGGAGTGAATGGGAGGAAAGTGAGTGTGTGAAGTGTGGTTATGCTGAGTGTGATTATTTGAAGGGAGGTTGTGAGGATGATTATGAGGGAGAGTGTGAGGGAGAGTATGAGGGTGAGTATTAGTGGAGGCGAGGAGGAGGGAAGGGAGGAGAGGAGGAGGGGCTCGGAAGGAGGAGGATGTGCGGGAGAGAGGGTAGATGGGGAGGCGGTTCTGCAGCCAAAGTTGAGCGGGCGTTGTGAGGGGGGTGAGGGAGGGGGTAAGGGAGGGGGTGAGGGAAGGGGTAGGGGTGAGCGTCCCCTGCTGAATGGAGTAGCTCTGAGACGAGAAGCGAGTGTGTGTGGAGGGGGAGGATGTGTGAGAAAGTGAGTGTGAAGAGGTTCTCCGCAAGGGCGGGAGCTGCTGCTGCTGCGCCTGATGCCTCCTCTGCTGCTGCTGCTGCATCTGTTGCGCTTGCTGGATAAGCTGTGCGTGCGCTCTCGCCCCTGCTCCTGCCGTTTCCCCCTCCTGTGCTCGTGCCGCTTGGCCTGCCACTGCTGCACCTGTGTGCGCCTGCATCTGTCGCGCCATCTGCCTCTGCACGTGCTGCTGCCACAGCAGCTGCTGCGAGGGGTGAATCTCTGCAGGCGGGCCAAGAGAATTGCGAGGAGGATTGGGAGGAGGATTGTGAGGAGTCATATTGGAAGCAGCAGACCCGCACTCCCTCTCACTCGTTGCTGCGTTCGACGAACCTGCAGCGGTTCCCGAACCTGCCGCCCCATTTAAGGAGCCTGCTGTGTTTCCCGAGCCTGCAACCGAGCCTGTTACATTCCAGTCGAGTCCTGTGCCTGCTATCAGCCCAGCTGCCATGCCTGCAGGATCCCACACCGAGCCTCGGACATTAGGCTCGACAACACCGAACCTACTAGTGGGCCACCTACTCTCTCCCATGCCTGTGTGGTCGAGTGATTGCCTCCCTTGGAAGATGCCCGGATTTGTGAGAGCAGGAGATGACTGAATGTTCGGGAGAATGTGACTATACGGAGGGAAAGCGGGAATTGAGGAAACCGGGAGGGTACTTAGTGCATTGCTGCTCCTGGAAGCAGTGGCAGGTGCTGACGTGGCATGGGCTGATGTGGTAGCAGCTGACGTGGCAGGAGATGACATTGCTGGGGCTGACATGGCAGGGGCTGGCGTGGCAGGCACGGACGTAGCATGCGACTGCGATTGGGAGAAAACCGAGGGAGAGAGGGGAGAGGGCAGTGCTGAGTCTTGGAGTGCTGCCGCGCTGCTCAGAATCCCTTGAAGCACGGCTGCCCTCGAAATCCCTCCTCGACGTGCGGAAGCGTTTTGAAGTCCTGAAGGGGCCGCTGTGTGTTGAGATCTCGAGGTGTGGATCGTTGATGGGTGTGCCGTGCTGTGGTCAGTGGTGTGAGCCATGGGAGCAGTGCTTGTCAGTTGGCTCGGGTGTGCAGCACTGGCGAGTTGAGCTGTGCGGTTGAGGTGCAATGTTTGAAAGATATGTGCCCCTGGATGGCTGAACCACATCGCCTGGGCAGCCTGCTGCTGCTCACGCTGCTGCTGCTGCTGCTGCTGCTGCTGTTGCTGCTGCTGCCGCTGGTGGTTCAGCTGTTGATAGTGCTGCTGCTGCTGCTGCTGCTGCTGCTCCTGCAGCTGCCGCTGCCGCTGATTCTGTTGCTGCTGTTGCTGCTGGTAGTGTCGTTCATTCTGCTGCCGATTCGGTAGCTGTGTCGAACCTAGCTGCACCGAAGCTAGCTGTACCGAACCTGACGGCCCCACATCCCTCATCTTGACCGCAGCAGCCAGGTTCGGCACGTGGCTGTCATCCGAGCCACACACCCGATCCTTCCACTCCAGTATGGCAGCAGCCACCTGCTGCGCATTCGCATGCAGCAGCGTCTTAAACATGTCTCCTATAGTCACGCCACCACCCTCCCAATTCGCTTTAGTCACACCACCTCCCTCCCCATCCGCTTTATTCACACCAGACCCTTTACCATCGCTCTCACCCCCATCCTTCGCCCCATCCTTCTCCCCATCCTGCCCTCTTTTCATGTCTCCATTCTCCACTTCTGCCTCCCTTCCAAAGCTTTCTTCCCCCCCCAGTCCCTCCCCATCCTCCACCGTTTGCGTCCACCCTGCTTGCGCCTCCTCCTTTTCTCCACTCCCCCTTTTCCCCCTTCGCTCCCCCCTTTCCCCCTTCGCTTCCCCTCCCTCACCTCCCGCACCTTCTTCACCCTCCCCAGCTGCCCCGCCCTCCCCAGCTGCCCCGCCCTCCCCAGCTGCCCCGCCCTCCCCAGCTGCCCCGCCCTCCCCAGCTATCCCGCCCTCCCCAGCTGCCCCGCCCTCCCCGGCTGCCTCGTCGCCCATGCTTCTCCTGGCTACGCTTCTGCCTGGTTGCTCCATGCCTGTTGGTGCCTCCTTCCTCTTCCTCTCCACCATCTCCCCACCACAAGCACTTGTACCCGTTGGTGTAGCGGCAACCACTGCATCAGCAGCGGCTGTAGCAGCATTGGCCATACCAACCGTGGCATCTGTAGCAGCTGTAGCAGCGTCGTAACCTGGAGCCAACCCGTCTGTAGCACCCGCCGCCAAATCTAAATGGAATAGCTCAGCCAGTTGAGCGCTCAGGATCGACTGGTTAAGCTGGCTGGTTTGGATCAGCGGCTCAGATTGATGCTGGTGAACCTTCCTGTCTCCAAGTGATCTGTCAAGCAGTGATTGGTCTGGGACCAAAGCTGACGTGGCACCGCCTACAGACACTGCCCGTGGCAGGCTCGGAACAGCAGGTTCGGAAGCAGCAGGCCTGGGGAGAACAGGCTCAGAAATAGCAGGTTCGGCAGCAGGGCTGGGAGGCGCCGAAGCAGAAACGTGCGCAGAAGGAAGCAGGTCTGGTTCCTGCTTCGGCCGGGCAGCAGACCCCAGTTGACACTCTGAAAGGAGGGGAATCTCGACACCCGCAGCACTCACAGCAACCGCAGCACCCGCAGCACCCGCAGCAACCGCAGCATCAGCAGCACTTGCAGCAATCGAGCCGTGCTTCGGCCCTGCCAGAGGCTTCGTTTCCGTATGACCCCTTTGAGGGTCCGCAACAAGGGCGGGCTTATCTGTCGGATCAGGGGCTGACGTGGCGGCTGCGATCTGCAGGCGCTGCTGCTCGAGAAACCTCCTGTGCAGGTGGGAGGGGCAGAGGGGAGGAGCAGAGGGTATTAGAAGGACGAACAGGTAACTTTTGAGCCCAACTGGAGGGCTGCGGTAGTGGCGGCGGTGGCCTGCAGGCGCTGCTGCTCGAGAAACCTCCTGTGCAGGTGGGAGGGGCAGTGGGAAGGAGCCGAGGGTTGAGGGACGGTGGGAGGGTTGCAAGGAGAGAGACCATTCGTGGAGGAAGGGTGGAAAAATGCAGAGGAAGACGGAAGGAGATTCTTGCAAAACAATCAAGACTGTCAGATCTAATCTGATCTGATCTGATCAGGACCGTGCCTCCGGGATATGACTGCCCATAGAGCTGCCACAGGTCGGTGTCGGGTGGATCCCCCGCTCTATGCAAGGTAGCGACTCACTTCTTAAGGAGGATGAAGCGGTTGCAGCACGCCTTATTGTCTCGGAGGGGCAGGTCGCGGCTCCGCTGCAGCAGCCCCCAGTTGCGCGTGCCATGGCGCATCACGTGCTGTAGCAACACGCGGTCCTCCTGGGGGGTTGAGAGGTGGAGTCGTCAGTGAGAGGGGGAGTCGTCAGTGAGAGGGGGAGTCGTCAGTGAGAGGGGGAGTCACCGGTGAGAGGGGGAGCATGGTGAATGAGACACGCGCATGTTCCGAGCAGCAGATGTGTTCCCATGAGGATGAGAGCGACATGGGGTTCTGGCATGGGGTGATGGCATGGGGTAATGGCATGGGGTTATGGCATGGGATGATGGCATGGGGTTATGGCATGGGATGAGATGGGCGGATGGTTGATGCCTGGCGAAGGTGACATCTGACTGTATGGGCTCCTCAAAACGCGGATGGCATGACATCTTGCTGCACTATGCGACTCTTCAGGGATGAGGAGTGCTCATGGTAGTCCGTGGATGATGCAAGGAAAGGAAGAGGAGAGTGAGAGAGTGAGAGAGTGAGAGAGTGAGGGAGACAGATGGAGGGCGGAGAGGGAGGCCCGGGAAGGGGGGGAGGGAGACGGGTGGGGGGGCGAAGGGGGAAAGGAAGGAGGGGAGGGGGAGGGGGGGGGGGGGGGGAGGAAAGGAAGGTGGGGGAGTGGGGGATGGGGGGGATCGGTCAAGGAAGGAAGGGCACACGTGCAGTAACCTTAGGTGACACCTGAGATCCGTGGAAAATCTGCCGTAGCGCACCGCATAGCGCACCTGGTTGCTCCAGCGAATGAACTGCTCTGGCGGCACGGGCACGCTGCTCCAGGCCGTGCCACGTGGCGACCCCGCCGCCAGTGAAGGGCGGAAGCTCATGGAAGCCGCTGCTAAGGGAGCAGCTGCTGCCTGGAAAGCGGCTGCCTGGGAAGGCGCTGTTAGGGAAGGCGCTGCCTGAAAAGCAGAAGCTGCGAAAGCCGCTGATTGGAAGGCCGCGCTGCCAGTCAGGGTGCCATCGGGATAAAACGGCGGTGGCCTGGAGCTGCCTGAACTAGCTGTTCCGAGTGAGTTTTTCGGATCTGATGCTCTCCGGTTCATGCCAGATTTCGGAGTCTAAGAGCTGCGTGATACCTCAAGGCGCTGCTCGAGCTGCGAGATGTCCGCTCCCACTGGTACTAGAAAGAGTCGCTCTAAAGTTTAGAGCATTGAATGCTCCGTGAATCTAGGGCTCTGGGTCACCTATGGCGCGACTGCCGGTGTGGGGGACACGGTAGCACTGGGAAGAGCGCTCAGGAGCACTGGAGAGAGGAGCAGGGGGTGACAGAGTGGTAGCCATGGATTTTTTTTATGGATCGGACAAGTTGTTTGGACGTTCAATCGCGAACTTCTTGAAGAGATTGAAAACTGATGTAAGGTACGGGACTCTGACTACTCGAGAGGGCGTAAAGTTGGAGCATCTACCGCCGCGCCGGAATGATAACTACTACCGGTGTCTGACAGTCAGATTCTGGACTAGAGACCGGGTTCTGGCGCAATGTACATTATGGCCCCTCTAAAATTATGTCGCGCGGAAACACTATTGCGTCCTACGCGTCGCAACAACTTTTTACAGCACCGATTTCCTACTACAGTACTATCACTTCGGGCAATGTAATAGTAGCTGCTCGCATGATACTAGGCAATCCAAAACAATCAGAAAACATAGTAAAAAGATAGTACGCTGACGGATAGCGCATAGAAAATATACAAATAGGAAGGTCACATGTGGCAGCTGGGCGCGCATGGGAAAAGGAATCCGAGGGAAAATGCACCAAAAATCATCCCAACTACCCTACCGCAGTGACTAAGCTGACGAGACGAGCAGTAAGCTCCGCACCAAGGTGTTTCCGGCAGCATACTGCAACTCTGCTGTTGTCTGCGGCGGCTGATTCGAGAGACGAAATCGTTGGATCTCTGATCATCTGACCTGCGCCCATTTGCACAACCGCCCCAAAAGTTGGAGCCCGTTTCGAGTCGGATCGGATAAGTCAGGGAGAACGGCTTCTTTCGCGGGTTCAGAATGAGATGCGGAAAAGCAAGCGTCCATGGAAACTGGTGAGAGCACGACGCGTTTCCTAGACACCTGGCATCTGGGCCGAATACACATTCGGCCTAGATGCCGGGCTTGCCAGGGGTACAAAACACATGGAGCATCGCAGAGTGGCCGCTTGAAGACACAGACTGCAGTTTCACGCACCCCTTCGATTCAACAAGGGCCTTTTTGCATCGGTACAGTACGCCCCCTCCCTTCCCTTCCCTGTGCTTCCATCTCCTCTTCCATCCCCCCTTTCCGATAAAACCAAGCAAGGTCGCCCCAACCAAGCACACCCCAACACCAATGCCCAGCATTCACGTGACGGGTAGTGGAAATTTGCCGCTTCGGGGCCCCCGTATCGCGTTGATTCAAAATGGTTGAAGGGCCCACGATAGCAGGGTAAACATCCGGAATTCCATACAAAATCCAACAATCGAAAACGGCCCGTTCATGGGCGTTTCCGAACCGCCAGACTAAATCCAATCGTGAAATAATAAAAGCGCGCGCTAATATAACACTCCTCATATAATCGAGGCTTTTAGACTTCGAATCGGGGGGAATCCAGATTCAAAAAAAGGAAACACAATCGTGACTCGTGAGCTCTTGTTGAGGGGAAGGCTTCAGGGAATTTTCCGCAGTGAGTGTCAGACCCGAGGTCGACCCGGGGCCGAAGGAGCCGCGGGCTGTCACAACCTAACTGCGGGTTGATTTTTCTTGACGGTGCAGCGGCTGCATAGTCGTGAACGGTCGCAAGGGGAGGGTTGCGACTATACTGGCCGACCTTTTCGAGTCCACCAGAAATGTAGGAAGTTGTGATTGGTGAAAGTTCATCTGCGCGACATTGTTAGTTGTTCTGTCTGACAGCTGACTGGCTGGAGCCGTCAGTTTTTCGCAAGACTCGAGGCAATTCTTTTCCAGCCTCGGATCTTCCCGCTAAGCCCTCGGATCTAACACTCGCTGTGGAATGGTCCTAAATTGTTCGGGTAGCTTCTATATTAGCGGCTTTGCACCAAAATGTTCCAGACATGGGCGGAATGAGGATTCCCACCTTACAAATTCGGGCACGGTATTCCAATCATCAATATTTCGAACACAAACCACGCCCCCTTCAATAGAGAAGCTATGGAGCAATGCTAGCTCCTCCATTGAACCCAGTTCATGATTTAAGTAAGTGTCGCAAAACCTCAGTACGTGAACAGTGGCAATCAACTCATGGCCCCAAAGAAAAGGGCCTCCTTTCAACCAGGTTTCGTTGGCACGCGTACCATGGAAATGGACAAAACATCTGACGTAGCAGGCGCACGCCAATGTCATCCGAGCCATTGAAAGGCTGGCGCGTGGTCTCTGCAATGATCAAAATCGCTCTTGTCACAGTCTGTAATCCCGGAGGAGCTGGGCTTGGAAAAGCGTCAACGAGATGATTCGGCATTAAATATCTGCCTTCCAATGCCTCGAAAATGGGGCAAGATACATCTGGTGCACACGACCAGTAGGACGTGAGATCGTCACCCGGAAATTAAAAACGTTTCTTACCTACAGTACATGCAGGGAATGTTCGATGAAACATATTCCTTCGGACAAAATTATAAGTATCCGCCCCGGGCTTTCAGAACCTGTACCAGCCAAAACATGATGGTGTGGCTGGAAACCATGGGGGTCCCTTCAATCCTGAGGTGTCTTCCGTCCCAGAGGGACTCCCAAGTTCCCGACTCCCAAGAATGCAGAATTTTGCAACCCCGTTTCCTTCCTTGTATGAGGAAATTCCCTGCGTCGTGTCATCCTTGAGTGCTACCGAAATTTGCCGATTAGCTAAGCTCAGCCGAACCTAGCACACACGCAAATTCAGATGACCCTTCACGGAGAACACGCTACGAGAATCGGACCTGAATCCTTTCTAAGTGATCACCTGATGGAAATCTTTTCGCCTGTGGAAAATTTCGGAATATCAAGTCAGAATCCGGATTAAACATCCTCCTGACCGTCCTCACAGCTGGCATACAAGACTTTAGCTGACAGTTAGCAGAGACGATCAGCCAGGCTAGCCCAAACGACATGTCTCTGAATGTGGTCAACGATTCTTTACCGGGTTCATCCATGTCCTGCGCCATGAACCTCAAGCGTGAGCAGCACACAAGTTGTTCAAGTGCCTGTTCCTGTCAACGTGGATGAGATCCGAATCCAGGCGGTCGAAATTGGGCAGTGTCGACTCTACAAAAGGCCCCGACATTTGGTATGGCACACTCGATACTAGTGCCTCATAATTGTCAACTCGCCAACACAAAATGGCATACCATAAATGAACTTAACTATAGATAGGATATCATTTGGGGTAAGCATAGCAAACCCATGAGCTCGCTGAGACCATAAGATGCCTTCTATTTTTATGGGATGGGAAAATGTCATTCTTGAGAGAGGGTGTTGGAAATGATAAAAGAAATAAGATATTTCCCGAGTCTCGCGTGAGTGTAGGAATACGCGAAGTATGTAACAACGGGGATCACCGAGTCAACACTGCTACAGTAATACTGACAGTTGACGCGGGTTGACGACACCCCGCAGAGGTTATGATAGGACAACGGTCGCAGACCATTGACCGTGCAACCCAACAGTCAGAATCGAAAGAGTCAAGAGTCAGTGCGACAGTAAGGACAAATAACTGTACCGATATTACAGTACGGGTGGTTAACGGAGTCACCTTATCGAGTCGTAAAAGGGAATGCACCCCTTGAAGAGCATAAACAGTAAGAGTCATCGTATTCTCATGTTTTATTATATACCTTGTATCCCTTTCCTATAACCAATCACTTGTTCTCACATACAAGGTCAAGGGTTCAACTCAAGACTTCCGTTGTGCTATCAAGGACTCTGTTAGAAGGACTTAGCCTTCTGAAAATATCATTGGGCTATTTTCAGCTCAACATGGTATGAGAGCTAGTCAGAAACTAAGTTCCTGTTACAAACTCCCCAGTAAGTTTCTAACTCGTTTGAAGAATCACTTGCAACACCTTAAGTTTATCAATTCAACATTACAAGACAAGGCTCTCAAAACTAGAATTGAATGATCATAGAGTTAGAGAGTACATGCACATATACCTAAATGTTGTACCCTCTAGGTCGTTACCCTATACAGTCTATACAAACATGATCAATAAACATGTTTGACACACCCCTTGGACTGCATAGGGGAATGTCCTAAACAAGCAGCTCAGGGCGGCACTACTAGTCCAGCCTCTGAGACAAGGGTCTAAAAGACCAGTCAGAAGGAGTACAGACAAGACAAGAACAAGTACAGGGCGGCACTACTAGTCCAACCACTGTGAGAGGACACAAGTCCAGTCTGAGAGTACACATATATATAGGACAGTACAAAGTCAAGGCCCGAGTAAGTGAGGGACTACAGGAACCAGACCAAGCTGTATACAGTGCCGCTGATGATCTTTAGGCGCAAGCGCCTTCGTAAAGATATCAGCTGTGTTGGCACCGGAGGCCAAGTGTACAACGCGAGCCTGGCGACGCTGCTGGAGCTCGCGCAGGAGGAAGTACCGCAGCTGGATGTGCTTCGCTCTACCCTCGAGTCGAGGCTCCTGACACAGGAGGATCATGGCCCTGTTGTCAGCGTACAAGACCGGGGCAGAGCTAGGCCGCTCACCTAAGTCAGTGAGCAAGAAGGTCAGCCAGCGGAGCTCCTGTGCCGCCATGGCACCAGCGTAGATCTCAGCCTCACAGCTGGACTGGGCAACAGACGAGGAGCGGGTAGCTCTCCACGAGACAGCACCTGAGCCAAGGCTAAAGCAGTAGCCCTGGGAAGACCTGAGCTTCTCGGCGTCGTCTGCCCAAGAAGCGTCTGTGTGCCCAGTAAGGACCACTGGCCTGCGTCCGCCTAGCACTAACCCCATGCCCGATGTACTTGCAAGATAACGCAAAACCCTCTTAGCGGCAGACCAGTGCTGAGGTCGGTGTCTGCTTGTGGCAACAAAACGAGCCAGGATGCTGAGAGGGTATGCGAGATCTGGGCGAGTGCAAGTCATCAGGTACATGAGGCAACCCACTAGCTCAGCGTAAGGACCACTGGGATCTACCGACTCCTCAGGAACTGGAGCGGAGAGTCTGTGGTCCAGAGGAAGAGGGGTGGGCTGTGCGGAGGAGAACTGAAGGCCGAACCTCTGAAGGACCTGGCGCACCAAGTGTGACTGAGTCAGGGTGATGGTGCGCGCGGCTCTGTCCCTGGAGATCTGCAAGCCAAGGTAACGGCGCAGCTCTCCAAGGTCAGTACAGGTGTGTCTCTTCAGCAGCTCTGCCTTCACGGAGGCCAGTGCATCCCTGTCAGCTGTGGCAAAGACCAGGTCGTCTACATAGACAAGGATGTAGAACGGAGTCGGGCCAGCACGAACGAAGAGCGAGGGGTCTGCAGAGGACGGAAAGAACTGCAGGTCAGCAAGGGTAGCACGCAGCGTGTCGTGCCACTCACGAGGCGCCTGGCGCAGGCCGTAGACTGGACGCCGCAGAAGCCACTGGGTCCCAGGGGGGAAAGTGCCAGTAAAGCCCTGAGGACGACGCAGGTAGACCTGCTCGTGAAGGCTGCCCTGAAGGAAGGCAGTGGAGAAGTCGAGGGAGTGAAGCTCGTAGTCACGCTGAGCCGCTACGTGTAACAGAACCCGAAGAGTAGTCATCTTCGGCGTAGGAGCGAAAGTCTGAAAGAAGTCCACCCCCTCGCGCTGACTGAAGCCTCTAGCCACGTAGCGCGCCTTGAACACAGGCGGCTCTCCAGGAGGGCGCTTCACCTTGAAGAGCCAACGGCCATCGACCACGTTCACCCCAGGTGGGGGAACTGCGTCGACGAAGGTGCCGGTGGATCTCCAAGATGCCATCTCCTGTTCCATGGCAGCTATCCACTGAGAGGCCCAGGGTCCCGAAACCGCCTCA